TCCTCCTCCTCGTCCTCCTCCTCCTCCTCTTCATCCTGCTCCTGCTCCTCCTCCTCCTCCTCCTCCTCCTCCTGCTCATCCTCATGCGTCCTCCTCCTCCTGCGCCCTCCTCCTCCTGCGCCCTCCTCCTCCTCCTCCTCTTCCTCCTCCTCCTCCTCCTCCTCCTCCTCCTGCGCCCTCCTCCTCCTCTTCCTGCGCCGACCACTCCGCCCCCGAGGACCTCCACCGTGACGTTCAGCGCGGCCCCCGAACAGGCCCTGTCGCGCAGCCCGCGCAGGGCCCTGACGTGGATCGTCATGTAGGCGGAGCCTCCGCCGCTCGAGGCGGAGCGACCGCGGGAGCGAGGACCCCAGCGAGCTCACCAGAGCAGCGAGCGCCGCGTCGTCGTTGGCGTCGCCATTGTCGTCGTCGCGGTCGCCGGCGTCGTCGGCGACTTCGGCAATGTCGGCATTGTCGTCGTCGCCGTCCCGCGCTTCCCGCGGCTGCCTTGGTTAAAGGGTTGCCTGTCGTCTCTTCCGGCTTGCTGGATGATCGTGCGCGTCGTCGATGTTCGCGCGCCCGAAGCACCGCACGCACGGCGCGCAAGGACAGGCGACCACTCTACCAAGGCGACCCGACCCTGGGCACGCACGACGCAACACAGGCATCGCAGGCAGCGATCGGGGGGGACGAAAGAGTAGGATAGCAGAGGGCAGGGTAGAGAATCAGCTCACGCTGCTGGTTTTCCCGGGGACTCCAAGCGCCGGGAGGCGTCCACGCACAGTATCGAGGAAGGGGCCCGGCGGCGGGGTTGAAACCAGCTACATGCAGCAGATGTCGTACCCCGACACGACTCATCAGGATGCGCATTAAGGTTGAAAGGGCCTTGGAGGACCATGTTGGCGTTTCTAGAACGAGATTGGCCAGCGAAAGTCGCTAAGGACGAGTCGAAGGGGCAACGATGCAAAGGTAATCTTGGCAAGTCGCTCATCCTTACTATGCAGGTTGACTGTACGTCGGTCGGAAGAAGTAGGTAAAAACGAGTAGGAAGGCGGATAACGTAGATTCGGCTCAGACCCTCCCAGAGAATAACAAACCACATCAAAAGAAGATCGGTTCTTCAAGTAGGAAGGCGCCCAAACTAGATTGGGATCTGGGCATCCAAGAACTCGGGTGCTGCTAAAGATACCCCTGGCCCAAGGTGCACCAAACTGTCCCCGTCATTTTGGAGCCCCTGGGGCCCTCTGGGCTACCTGAGGGGTTCTCTGGAGGCCGTGAGGGCCCCCTCGGAAATCCTGGGGGGGCACCTTGGGCCGGGGGCCCGAACCAGACCTGCCCTCGACGACCGACGAGCATCCTGCCCTCTCGTCCGGCCCGAGGCTGGCCGCGGGGCAGGAAGCACGAGGCGAGCGGCAGGGAACGCTCCCCTCGAGATCGGTTTCCAGCAAGCGGGCGCCCACTATACAGACCCGCACCAGGGCTCGAGCTACACCGCGTTTTTCGCTGTCGTATTGGCTTCGTGTTCCCTCGCTCTGCCTTCGTTCCCCCCCTTGCTGCGAGACGAAATCAAGACGAAAACGGTCCACGAAATCACCCAAACACAGTTTGGCTCGAGCCCTGGCCCACACCGACGCAGGCCAGACTGATCCCCCAGATCTCCGACGGAATGCTCTTTTCAGTCCGTGCGTTCTCTTCGAGTTCGGCCTCCTCGTCATCGCTCGGACGTCCATTCCTCGTGCATTGTTCGGATTCGTGCGTGTACCTTTTCGCAAGACAGCCCAAGATGCTCCTCGATGGTTCCTGCCGAGAAAAATGCACATGTCCGAGCAATGCCAAGTCTCCAGCACGAGGGCGCCCACCACACACAATTGCTCCAACCCAGGCCAGGCCCAGCCCCCAGATCTCCGACTAAATGCTCTGTTCAGTCGGAGCCTTCTCCTCGAGGTCGGTCTCCGCTAGGAGGGCGCCAGCCCGTCTTAGTAAGGACAAGCACGATAAGAATGCAAAGGCCGTGGAAGGCCATGTCGACACTCTGCGGGCGGGGCGGGGCCAGCGAAAACGGCCAAGGAAGGGTAACCTTGGAAACTTGCTCATTCTCACTATACGGGCTGACTTCCTCAACGCTCTAGGACGGATTTATCCTCGGCGGCGAGCGAGGGGGGGCAATGAGAAGGAGAAGGCCTTCTCAGAAAGCTCGGAAGCCCCCTGGCCTTCTGAAGATTTTCGAAGCCTTCCCCAAAGGCAGAAGAAGCTTCTCAAAAGGCGCAAGGCATTCCGAGAAGTCCCGCCACCTTCTGAAAAGGCCTTTTCCTTCTCATTTTCCCCCCCTCGCCCGCCGCCGGTATCCTCATCCCAGCCCCGTCCGAAGGAGGGCACCCAGTGTACACACCTACGCCGACCCGGAGCAGGCCCGTGCTGGCCCCAGGATCGGTGCACGTCGCCTCCTGGTCTGGCCACGGGGGCCCACGCGCACACGAAGACGAAACCAGGACGAAGATCAAATCGGGTGAGGGTCAATCGGGAATCTCTGAGGTCCGGCGGTTCTGGAGGAGGTCTCAGGCGCCACGGCCTTCTCAAAGCGTTCCAGAACGCTCTGGGAGCGTTCTGGAACGCTCTGGAAAGGATTTCTCCTCGCCCTAGCCCCGCCCGACACTCCAATCCTGGGCCCAGGGTCGGCCGGGCCGGGATCGGCGTAGGTGTGCATTTGGCGCCCTCCCATCAAACAGTTTTTTTCTGCGATTTCGGCCTCCGAGCGTTTTTCCTCAAAGTCGGCCTCTGGGCGTGTCTCGGGGCCCGAGGCCACCAGAAATGGGATCGGCACGGGCACGGGCCCCGGAGGATGGGGTCGGGAGCTCTGGAGCCCATACATACATACATAGATACAGACATGCATGCATATACATAGAACAGCAGCAGCAATAGCAGCAACAACAGCAACCACAGCAACAACAACAACAACAACAACAACAACAACAATCACTTTACCCGAACGCTCAGTGTTCTCACCAGTGCCAGGGTTTTCATGCGACGCCAGCCAATACCCCCACTTTGTGGGGGGGGCAGTGCAAGTTCTACCAAATATCCACACGACTCTTCGCCACCACCCACACCCAGCTTCCCGCCCTATGACGTTCGGACACTTCACTTCGTGACCTGCGGACGACCGTGGCTACTACACTGGCGTGGAGTACACACCCACAGAAGTTGTTAAGCCTACGTTCGTACACCCACAGAAGTTGTTAAGCCTTGTTAACCCACAGAAGTTGTTAAGCCTTCCACAGAACATCTGTTGCATATGATGCATATGGTCCATGATACACATGATACACATGATACGTACTCACAAGATAGTTGATCACATCTTTAGGGCAAATTCCTGAGGGATGTGGGAATACACAAGAGAGAGAGGATATGGTTGTCCCGATGGTTGTCTCGATGGTTGTCCCGATGTTTGTCCTGATGGTTGTGGTTGTCCCGATCGTTGTCCCGATGATTGTCCCGATGGTTGTCCTGATGGTTGTGCTTGTCCCGATCGTTGTCCCGATGACTGTCCCGATGATTGTCCCAATGGTTGTCCCGATGGTTGTTCCGATGGTTGTCCCGATGGTTGTCCCGATGGTTGTGAGCGATGCCGGATCCTCACGCCCCCCGCCGGAGGAGGAGGAGGAGGAGGAGCAGGACAAGGAGGAAAGGAGAGAAGAGAGAACGGAAGGAGGGGCGGGAACGGCGCTTGCACGCCCACCCACCGTCTTTTCCCCGCCGCGGCTCTAAAGAGACGAGTTCGAAAAAGTTGCTCGCAAAAGCCCGTTTGACAGAAATGTTTAAAAAGTGTTGGGTTTCCTACGAATCCGCAAGAGCGCGCGGGATGAGATTTTGACAATTTTTTGTTGAAAAACCATTGGTTTTTTTTATGTTTTTATGTTAAAATCGCTGCGAACACTAAGGTTTTGGAAGGATTTCGTCTTGCGCGCGCGAATGTCCACTATACCTTATTTTTTGCAAGGGATTCTTGAAATTTGATTATATTAGAACAAGAAATGTCATTTTCTATTGTTTTTTGCAAGGGAAAGCGGATTACAACAAAACAACCGGATCCTGTACACACCCTCTTTTCTGAGGCTTCCTCACGAAAATGATGAAAATGTAGCTGCGGCCTAGGCGGCGCAGGGGGGGCGCGCGCCAGGGGGCCCAGCAATAATTATTCTTTAGAATAAATAATGTTCAACGACAACAACAAGGTACAGGCCGGCATGTTCCCCCCGGGGTCCGGGGCTTCACTTCCCGCGTCCGCCACAGCGGAGGAGGCCGGCCCCGCCCCCCCCGGTGAATCGGAAGGGGAGGGGGGGGGGGGGCAACACAACGCGACACAACGAATTCTGTATGATTTCTGTATGAATTCTGTATGAATTCTGCATGAATTCTGTATGAATCCTACACGCCCCCTACGGATTCCCATCGGAACCCGTTCGGGACCCTCTAGGAGTCTTTGGATCCCTCCAGGGACTCTATAGAATCCCTGTGGATCCCTCCAGGGACTCTATAGAATCCCTGTGGATCCCTCCAGGGACTCTATAGACTCCCTCTGGATCCCTCCAGAGACTCTATAGAATCCCTGTGGATCCCTCCAGGGACTCTATAGACTCTATAGAATCCCTGTGGATCCCTCCAGGGACTCTTTAGAATCCCTGTGGATCCCTCCAGGGACTCTATAGAATCCCTCCAGGGACTCTATCGAATCCCTGTGGATCCCTCCAGGGACTCTATAGAATCCCTGTGGATCCCTCCAGGGACTCTATAGACCCCCTCTGGATCCCTCCAGGGACTCTATAGAATCCCTGTGGATCCTCCAGGGACTATAGAATCCCTGTGGATCCCCCCAGGGACTCTATAGAATCCCTGTGGATCCCTCCAGGGACTCTATAGAATCCCTGTGGATCCCTCCAGGGACTCTATAGAATCCCTGTGGATCCCTCCAGGGACTCTATAGAATCCCTGTGGATCCCTCCAGGGACTCTATAGAATCCTTGTGGATCCCTCCAGGGACTCTATAGAATCCCTGTGGATCCCTCCAGGGACTCTATAGACTCCCTGTGGATCCCTACAAGGACCCTCTAGACTCCCTGTGGATCCCTACAGGGACCCTCTAGAATCCCTGTGGATCCCTACAGGGACCCTATAGAATCCCTCTGGATCCCTACAAGGACCCTACAGGGATCTGAGAGGATCCCTGTGGATCCCTACAAGCATCCTAGAGGATCCCTGTGGATCCCTACAAGAATCCTAGAGGATCCCTGTGGATCCCTACAAGCATCCTAGAGGATCCCTGTGGA